TTCAAATAGAAACCATCTTCTCTTACTGACCAGTAGTAATTCGCCGTATGAGCATTCTTTCTTCCATTGCTTTAAGATTTTTTTAATATGTCTTGCTTGAAGCTGTTTGAAACCCACGGGTGCTGATCTATATCAGAAGCTTTTATTCTCTAAAGTACTTTCAAACAAGGAAAAAATATCATTAGTGAACTATGTAGCTAATCTATAACACTAAGCTTATTTCTTATTTATTGAGATTTTTTTAATATGTCTTGCTTGAAGCTGTTTGAAACCATGGATGCTGATCTATATTAGAAGCTTTTATTCTTTGTAGCTAATCTGTAACAATAAGTTTTTATCACACAGTTTTTACATGCATTTTGCTCTTGGTTTGTATTTGAGTAATTTTACATCTTATTTCTCATAGAAAATTTTCATTGCCGAAGTAACAAAGGCTGCTGCATAAGACATATCTTATGGAGAGTTGTACTCATGGTTGTACACTGCTTTGGCTGCAACTCAAGCTCACACACACACAACAGCATAATGTGAATTCCATTCTCTTGGAAAGGATGCTATTCTCTTGGAAAGCACACACGGAGTAGCTGTTGTTCATAGTTTTTTTTTTCTGTGTATTTTTTTTGGTTGATACATGTAGTTTATATGTGGTATTGATTTTTCTGCTTTTAGGTTTGTCGTTACCAGCTGTTCTGTGGTGGTGGTGTTTATAGTTATATTTGTGCTCTTATTAAGCAGATTCTTTGTATATTCATGAGGCTTATGCATTCACAATTTTTTTGCATATTCATGAGGCTTGGCTATTTATGGATTGATTCAAACAATTTATTTTGCATTGTTGGAGGTTAATGAGACATGGGTAGGCTTGGGTTACTATAGAAAGGCGTGGGGTCTACAAGAGCATAGAGGTCAACTCTCTTTTCAATCTTTTCCAGTTGCTTGCTTCATGTGGTATACATAGATAGGTTAAAGACATGTGTTTTTGAGATGATTATATAAAGGTTTGGGTTTTGAGGTGAGTTTCTTCTTGAAAACTAAAATTGGCACAACCAGTTCCTTTCCTTTTTAAAGTTCCTTTCTTTTTTATGCTTTAATAAGTTTAATTAGTTGTTTTTTACCTTCTTGGCAAACCTTTTTTATTTTAATGTTATTTTTTTATGGATTTTGCTAGGATTTTGTGTTATGTTTTTTAATTTGATTGTATGTTTCATATTCTAATACACTCAATGTTATGTTTTGCGGCTGTTAGGTCTTCTTTGGAACCAATATGCAGGATGATAAGAAGATGCTCCCACATTGCAATTAAGGATTTGAGATGGTCATCCCTACTTAGAAAAAAAGATTAGAACCAGAACTCCACTTTGGTTGATTATACTAAATTTTTTATTTAATCTAGTGACACTATAACAATCCTTAGGAAGTCTTTGATGATATGTGATATTTTAAGCTTCATCTGATCTGAGCACTAAATATTTGGAAATAAAAGAATATGGTTTGGTGTGGATCCAACCCCCACCCCCCCCCCCCAAAAAAAAATCCACAATGAGGATTTGACCTCATTTTTCATTCGCATAAGAAAAATGAAAACCAACTGAGTTTTTCATGGCCTCATTTTTCATGCGCATAAACCAAATGAGTTTTATTTCACTTCTTTATGGGTGTATAGAGTTTTGATAAGATTTATTTTGTTACCAGTCATGGGAAGATCAGAGATCGATCGTCATCCCCAAAGGTAACAATTTTTTTTTCCTTATTTTTTTGGAAAAAATTTACATTCTTGGTTTGTAGTTTTTGAGTTTTTTTTTTTAAAATTTCCATGACGAATTTTTTGTTTTGTTTATTGATGATGCCACCGATCACGAGAAGTCGATTGTCATCCCCCAAGGTAACAATTTTTTCTTTGATTTTTCTTATTTTTTGGAGGAAATTTACATTCTTGGTTTGTAGTTTTTGGGTTTTTTGTTTTATTTCCATGACGAATTTTGCATTTGTATGTTTATCAAACTGAGTTGTGCTTCTCTGAAAAAAAATTACATTCTTGGTTTGTAATTTTTGAGTTTTTTTATTTTATTTCTATGACGAATTTCGCATTTGTATGTTCATCAAACTGAGTTGTGCTTCTCTGTATGTCTTTTTCATTTCTTCGTATGGTTGAAACTGAATAATAGATCTTCAGTGCTTTGGTACATATCTGTTCAAAGTTATTCGGAAGTAGATTGAGTGTTCTACCAGGCACACACTCGAATTGATTGATTGTTGTTCCATTGGTACCATTGAGGTTACCTACCTCTTTGCTCATGAGTTGTGCTTATTCAATTTGTTGTCTTATTGTCATTCCTTTGCCTTGGTTTGTGTGAAATTTAGAATTTAGAACTTATGTTAGTTGGTGTTGTCATAGACCTAGAACGGGTTCTATGAAGCTACCTTGCTACTCAGGTTGTGCTTCTTTATTTTGTTGTGTTTGATTTTTTATGTTGACCATTTGATTTCATGCTTAAATGATGATCTATAGGGTACTAATATACCTATTTGTTGTCTCTTCTTTGTACACTATAACATGTAAAGTAGGAGCTTTTATCCTGCATGTTTGAGCAAATAAATCAATTTTTGCCATTAAAAGCAAGTGAAAGCCTCTCAAAATATTGTGTTACACTTGGACTCAAAATTTTTTGCCAAGTGAAATCCGTACTTCATGTTTTACGTGCAAGTTTAGCTCAAGGGCTGTTTGATTAAAAAAATTCAATAGTTTTAAGCATGAAATACCAACTTGCATTGTATTCTCTTGGACTGATTCATGTGTGAAAAAAATTATATTATTTGATTGTTTGTGGTTTTCTTTGACTCAAAATTTGATCGTTTGATTTAATAAAATTAATCGTTAATTATTTATCATTTAATTTCACAATCTTTGTAAAGGACTTATATGTTGAATAAATCTTAGACTTTTCAGGTACTTTTGAGTCAAACCTTAAATTTTGTGCATTTGCCACAAACACAGGATAAATTGAACAAATCATCTTGATTTGTTTCAGTTTTACTTAGATTTTGGACTTTTGTTGTAACAATTTTTATATGAGAACTGATATGGATGTCAATTAAATGTGTGCATTTGTAATTGTGGGTTGAATTTTGATTTTATTATGTTGTTGTGGTAGTTGACAAATGATTTTGTTAGGGTAGAATTGAGGTGTGATATTGAATTCGAAAAATGAATTAGGCCATGTTTTCTTTAAATTCATGTGTTTCTTATTAATAAGTAGATTTGCACTAATTATTAGTCATCCGTCAGTTCAGTGCTTGATTATTTTTGCGTTCAAATTCAATATTCGATTTTTTTTAGTTGCACCATACTTTCAGGCACGAGTTATCCCTAGTATATATATATATATATATATATATATATATATATATATATATATATATATCAACAAAATTTTTAAAAAAAAATTATTGCAATAATATAATTCAATGGACAAAATTTGGAAAGCAATTGCCCTTACAACCAACAATTGCCCAAGTGTCGAAACCTACGAACAAAAGTTAACATATCCTAAAAATTCCAACATCATCAAAATAATACCACATTATGATTTACCAAACAAAGAGACAAATTAAACTATAATTTTAAAGCAAAACAGTGCTCAATGCATCAACAAAAAATTATACTAAAAATTAGTATAAATGAAGCAAGAATGTAGAGAGAGCAAAAGAAAATCATATGAAGGACAAAGTGTAAAAAGGACTCCAAGTTCAAATTTGTCTCTTAGATTCACCCTATTCAAATATGGTGATCATATTAATTTTTGTTCCACTCTATTCAAACATTCAAGAATACTAAGTTCCATTCAAAAAGAGACAAATTTATTTTCAACATTAATAAACACTATACTAAGTTTTATAATAAATTTATTTTCTACATTATAATAAATTTATTTTCAACATTATACTAAGTTTCCATTCAACATTATAATAAACATTCAAGAATATTAAGGCTACTAAGTATAATTAACACTCTATTGCAAACTCTCAACCAATATACTATATGTATCATATTGGCTTTAAGTTGACATTAAAAAAGAGCTACATTTTACTTACCTTCATTTCAGCCACATCCACATCCATCTTGAGGAAAATTACATCAGGCATAGTGTGAGCAAACCCAGCTAGAATTGGAGACATGGAGTGGCACGGTCAACACCATGAACCTGCAAAATCCACAAACACATGTAAGAAAGCTAACATAAATTTATTAGACATTTAAGATAAATGAATAATGGATAAGAAACCAATAGTTGGCTATAAGGACAAAGAAACTCACATAACGTATCTAACCAATATGGAACTCTGTCCAAATCGGCTACTAAGTTCCACCCTATTCAAACATTCAAGAATTCAACTCATTCCAGAAAAAAAAATTATAGAGATAGTCATTTAGGGAAACTTTTTTTCTTTGATGCAAAACAACAAACATATTGTGATCATATACAAAACCCAACCATCTTAACTCACCCTCAACATCAAACAACATAAAATTGAACAAACTTAAAACACCAAGTCCAAGCAAAAGAAAAAAATTGTAACACATGACAACAAATAGTAATAACACATAATATGAAAATTGAAATTGATAACTAATGCTAATAGCAAATAACATGTCTCAATTTGAACTGTGAATTGTGCTCAATAGAAAATAATTAATAACTAACCTGATGGAATTAGTGCTCAATAGCAAGCTATTTGGGGACCATCACACCCATCCCCTAGCATCCAAAGGAGATCAACTCTAGGGAGTGGGGAATCATAATTGAACACATAGGGCAATGACAATCCAATCAGATTTTCAAAAGTGAAATTCAATTACTTACCGAAAAAAAAGACATTATTGGCGTGAAGATTTAATACAATATAATATAGAAATTGTCAGGACAAAATTGTATAATTGCTAACATCAAATTGGAGAAAAAAAAAAGAAAATCCAAGAAGCTTGAAATTGATAACTAATGCTAAAAGCAAATAGCATGTCTCAATTCGTCGAGGACCTCACGTTTTTTGGCGATGTCGACAGTGGGATTTGAGAAGAAGTAGAAGACTTTAGGGTTCGAGACAAATTTCTCCACCTTTTCGATGTCAGCCGAGGTGGCTTCTAGGGTTCCATTGGAATTTGCCACCTCAATAAGGGCGTTGTCGTAGCTTCCTGCGGCAGAGTCTGCCATTCTAGCACCGTGATAGTGGGTTCTTCCGGTTGACCTTGATGGTGATTTTTGGGAGTTTGATAAACTTGAAACCTCCAGAAAATGAGAGGTTTGTTGTTCTTTTAGACTATAATTTGGGTTGATCGTGGTGATCGGGATTGAAATGTGATTGAAGTTTGTTGTAGAGCAACCATTGTTGCCATTGGAGGGAGAGAGAGAGAAAGAAAAGAAGATACGTGACTCAGAGAGGAGACTGAGGGAGGGAGGGAGGAAGAGAGAGAGATTCATAAGCAACAAGAGTCTAGAGTTGTAATGAGATGAGGCTTGAGAAATTGGGAGAGAGAGACGTGAGTTAGCAAATATTGTTGGGCGAAAAAATAAAATTCGGTACTCACTGTAGATCGTTAGATCAAAATGTTTGAGATGATCTGAATCGTTTTTTATGTTGCGATTATGTTGTTCATTGAATGTATTTATGTTGTATGATTTAAAATTGATCCGGACCACTCTTTGTCTCTTGGATTCAAACTTCATTCTACTTTATTATATAGATTTAAATAAAATTTTAAAAGTAACAGTTGATTATCATTATTTTTTTTAGTAAAAATCACTCATCCAAGAAATAATATATATTTAAATTATATTTTTTAAATTTTATTTGAACTATGAAACATTTTCCTTCTCATAATCACTATTTCTCTCTATTTTTATTTTGTTGTTAGGTGTCAAGACTTCTATTGATAATTCTCTCAAGTTCTGAGATCGGCCACCGTAATTTAGAGTGTGTCTGACATTACTTAAAAAAAAAGTGTTTTTTGAACTTTTAACTTATGAAAAATACTTTTTTTTTAAAAAGTAGTATTTGGCTTAACTTATTAAAAACACTTTTTGATAAGTAAAAGTAATTTGAGCACTTAAATAAGTTAATAAGAAAAATTAAAAATAATTAACTTTTACTTTTAAAAGTCACTTTTCATTTTTACTTCTCATTTTCTCCTCACTCCCCCGATATCTCTCTACAAGTCCCCGATACCTCTTTGCCAAAACCCTTCATGTAGCTGCTTTCTCTCTTGATGCCCACGTCGACACCGACGTCGATGCCAACAATATATTTTCTCATCTCGCCGACCAACAACACTACTTTCTCTCTCGCCAACTACCAACGACACCGAAGCCAAGGAGCTAATGTATTTTTGTTCTCTTCTATCTGCCAAACGAGCTATTTCAGACTGCAACGAGGTACAATATCTTTGTTGTTGTGGGTTGATGTATTTTGGTCTATATTTTTTTTTTTTGATGATGATAAAATTTGTGTAGATCAAGGAGCTGTCTACGGTATCAATTTTTGATATATTTGGGGAAACTATTTTATATTTTTTTGATCCATGATTATTATGAAAATCACTATATTATTTTACTTCCACAATGCATTGCTATTTCTCACATTTTATTTTTAGCAAAATTAGATAGTTTGATAGAATGTCCACCAACTGTTTGATAAAATAACTATCAGTTGAACAAATGCACAGTACCTAGAAACATCATGTTCGACATGCTTTTCTCTAGAGTATTGATGTTTTATTTATATGAATTTGAGTTTGTCAGTATGATCAGATCACTATACAAAGGACAGATCTAAATAATCCACTATACATGCTAGTGTTTCTGAGGGAGAAAATGCCAAATATTTAACTCGGGTTATGATTGGTGAGCTATTTTTAAGGTTGTTGTATTTACACATTTTTTGATATACACATTGAATAGATTTGTTGCTAGTGAATTAGTCTGCCCATCCATGTTTTGAAAGTGTTTATTGGTTCTATTTCAACACCTAAGCACTAATCTTGTGGCATGTTTTATACATTGTCCAACAAGAAGATAAGAACATTTTTGTCTGTAACATAGCTGAAGGAAATGGATTGGTGTAGCCTACTCAAGACAGTTGGGCATGCCCTTGTGTGGTCTTGTTTGGTTAACAAACATCATTCCATCATTAGCTTATGAGTCTTACTAATAGCTTATTTTGTTTACTCTACCAATTGACATGAGCATTAGGCATTCAATAATCACCTTTATGTAATGGCATATGTGGGTTCGGTTACTATTGCAATATATATCAGTACATGAGAAAAAATTTGGAGTTCCTATATTGGATGGCTAATTTTGTTGTCCTGTGTTTATTCACTGTTGTGGCCATTGCCCGGTTGATCAATAATTGGGGCGATCTGAATCCCATTATCTACTTTTCTTTTCATTGTTGGTGTCTGGGGATCATCTGGGATTAGTATTTCTTTTGCTGATTTTAAATGAACTAGAAGTCTAGATGGTCTTTTGAAAAATGTGAAAAAAAAAAGTATGTTTCGAGTATAAACTCAACTTTATCAGAAGAGCCATCTTCATGGCAGTGAGAAACTAGACATCTTTGAATCCCACCTAATCATGGATGTTCTTTGTTTGTAGAATTTGTAAATGTAACAAATTTGTTTGTAGAATTTGTAGATGGCTTCTAGTAGTTCTAGGAATGACAAAGACAAAGTAAATTGGACTGTGGAGAGACGTAAGACTTTTTTAGAGTTATGTGTTAAAGAGGTGGATAAAGGGAATCGGTATACTAGTAGTTTTAACAAGCAAGGTTGAAAGAATATTATAGATGGATTTGCGACAAAGGAAAAAGTCATGTATGACCAAAAACAATTGAAAAATCACTTTACAATTACTAAGGATGCATGGAAGTCATGACACAAATTGACTAATCATACTGGAGTGACTATTGACCCTAAAACAAGAGGTGTCTTGTGTGATGACCAGACATGAAATATATTTGTTGAGGTAACATCTAATTAGATCAATTTAAATATTGTAGGAGTTAATTGTTTAAATTTATGGTCATGATTTTTTCCTTTATCACAGGCAAATATTGATTGCAAGGAATTTCCATAAGAAATCACTCCCATTTGCTTATATGCTAGATATATTTTTGGTGGTACAACCGCAACTGGGGAGCATTTGCTCCTACAGCCAGTTGTGGTGACTATCATGACTTAGAATTAGACAGACCTTGTGAAAGTTAGATTCCCGACAGAGTTGGACCAACAAGAGAGTAAAGTAGTGACACAAATAGTCAGATACATCACGGACATTATGGGTCCACATCTTCAAAGCGCTGTCGAAAAGTGAGTGGGAGAGAACAATGAGATAAACAACTATCAAAGTTATGCAAGATAATACACAACACTGTTACACCAACATTGTCCACAGTCAAGGAATGCATGCAAGAACTTCACAAAATGCGTGACCTTGTTCCATATGGTAGCCTGTTTTACTGACATGCTCTTGTTCTTTTTTGGGATGTTATCAATAGGGAAACATGGATGAATTCACCTAAACCTAGTGTTCGAGCTGCATAGTTGGAGTATATGAGGGATGGAGGGAACACTAGTTAGTAGGATGTCGTTTCAAATTTAGATGTTTATTTTCTATTATAGACTTGTTTAGGTGCTTTTTTTTAGAAGAAATTTTAAATATTTTGTTTATTTTGAACATTACTCTTTACTGTGACTATTTAGTTACTTTTGAGCATATTTGAACACTAAGTATTACTGTGATGGTAATACTTGAGCTTTTGTTTTTGATGATTTTTGAATTTTTATTATATTGATGTATATGTTCGACTCTTGAATAGACATATGTCATTGGAATAGTTGGACTATGTAGTTTTTCGTATGATATATTTATTAATATAATTTTTTTGTGTATGTTTTTTTTTTGGTTTCATTATATGTGTAGTGTATGTTTGTATATGGACATTCAATGTCATTAACAATTGTGACACAAATAAGTATTTTTACATCCAAACATGTTTTTTATAAAATACATTAATTTAAGTACTTTAAATTTTAAATATTCAAACAATACTTATTTAATAAAAATATTTTTCTTATAAGCACTTTTGATAAACATTTATTAAAAAAAATATTTTTTGAATTTCATAAGTCATTCCAAATACACCTTTAAACTAGTTTAAGAACATATTAGATGTATCTATCTTATTGAATGTAAAAAATATGAAAACTAAGAGCTCTTACTTAAAAGAAGAAAAATTTGACAACTCCTAAGAGTTGTATTTCCCTCTCTACCTGTAAATTGTAAACAGGACAAAATAAGCACACACAAACAAACAAAGGAGAATGCTCTCAAATTTTTCACACACAAACAGATTAGTTCTTTCATTCAGAAGTTGAGCAAAACAATCAAACCTTTGCACAAATTCAATACAATAACAGAAAAAGAAAAATCACCCCACCTAAGAGAGAGAAAATTTTCTAAGACATGGAAAATCTCCTCTTTCTAGGCTTGGTAATATCGACTGCATCTTCAATATTAGAAGTATCCTTGGATCCGTGCTTGAAAGGATTCAACTTCCCCAAAGTTTTAGACATAGATGAAAAGAAAGTTGTCTTCTTCAAACCTCCTTTGCTTGATGTGCCTTGAGGAGTCGTCTTCTGCAAATCAGTAATGTACATTTTCATTTGCAGCAACTCAGTTCTTAAGGCCTCATTCTCTTTGATTAATGACACATCTGCCTGTAACTGGTTCCTCGTGGCTATGGCGTCGGGCGCGGTCCTGTCCTCGGTGCCACTCCTTAGCTTCAGTTGATCGTAGTATAGGGCATGAAGCACAATTTGAACAGGTAAACGCTTGTTCTGTGAAGCATGGACCCTGGCTTCATAGGAAAGTTTGAGTGGATCCATCACACTGCATACTTTCTCACGCTCAATCTCATCTAAGTTTGGATGAGCCTGCAGTGACAACCAACAGTAGCAAGCTTATGAACTGTACAGGTAGTTACATTGTGCAAGCAAAATGACCGCTTCCCAAAATATAGCTTTTCCACTTTTTTTCATCACAAAGATTTCTCTCAAGCACACATATGTTGGACTTATGATAATTAATTTATAATATAAAACAGGGTAAACTCTCGTAAATTTATCCGACGGTCTCAAATATATTCATCTAATAACCACCAACATCCCTCTTAAAATCATTCACATTACATCATGTCTTCAGACACAGATTATCTTTAATTATTATATAAGCTTCGAATGTGTGCAATCACCAACAAACTACACATAATAAAAACATTTTTAGAATTTCGAAGAATTTAGAGTCTATTTGGTTTGCGTTTCAAAAAATAATATTCGAAAATAAATTTTGAGAAGAATTTTAAGAAATTATGTTTTAATATTTTCTAAGATAAATAACTTGTTTGGTTAGATGATTCTAAAAATAATTTTAGAGAACAAAAAACATTAAAACATATTTGGACAGTCTAGATATATATTTGGACAATAATTCAAAAATTAATTAAAAAATATGAGAGAGTTCAATAAATTAAACTTTAAAATAAACTAATTTATATTTAAATTTTCAATATCAATTTATTTATAAAATAAATAAATCAAACACCAATAAAAAAATTTTCAAAAAAAAAATGTCATAAATTAATTTATATATAAAATCAATAAGCCAAACACCAATAAATTGAAAATGGACAAAAATAAATAAATAAAAAAATAGAACAAAAAAAGATCAACACAAATTTGAACCCCAAAATCTACTACTAGTAATAAAAAAAGCCACCACTCACAATCAACACATTTTATAGGAAAAAAAAAATTAAGTAATAAAGAGTCAAATCTAAAACCAATAAGAAAGAAAAAGATAGATCTGGTATTCAACCCAAATTTGAAGAAGATCAGCCCAGATCTAAAGAAAATCAACCCAGATTTGAACCCATATTTGAAGATCAACCCAGATATGAAGGAAACCTAACCAAAGAAAACCCCTAAACACCGACGTTGGAGAGAGAGAAAAACCGATGTTGGAACTGACCTTGGAGCCAACACCAGAGAAAACCTAGATCTAAAATTTGGTGTGTGTTCTTTGTCTCATTCGTTGGAGTGGAGAGAGAAGGACCAAAAAAAAAGGCAAAAAAATTCTGTCAAAGGCAATAAAAAAAATAAAAAAAAACTTTTTATAGTAAGATATCTTTTGTTGTTAAGAAAGTTCAAAGAAGAGACCTCATTAATGAGTTGGGGTGTTCTCCGTGTTTCCTTCTTTTGTCTCCAAAACACCAAAAAACAAGCCCAGATAGTTTTATATTTTTTGTTCTTTTCATCCATCTTTTTCCAAATATTGGAGAACCAAAACTCAAATCAAACAGCTTTTCCTTGTTATTTAAAATTTTGAGATCAAAAAATTATTTTCAAAAACCAAACCAAACCAAACAGGCCCTCAGATTCAGTTCAGTTTGCATATCAAAAATTATTTTTCTATTTTTGAAAATAGTTTCTGGGATAAAAGTTGTCTGGACCACTGTATTGTGTTTTTGTTTTTTGAAAACTAAAAACAAAAAATGGATAAATTTAGAGAACAAATTAGAATTCTTTTTTGTGCTTTTTAAAACAACTTTTCCTGAATTTAAAAAGCACTAACATCATTAGACTTCCACCACCACCACACTCTTACCCCTACCACCACCGTCATACTTCCACCATATTTCCCATTTCTATTTTCATTGTTTTTGAAACTCAGCCATCTTAATTACCCTTTGGAGTTAAGTTTTCAATATTTCATGGTAAAAGACCATCTAGCAAGAGTATGTGTCACACTAGCTATTATTGTGATTAGATTACAAATATTTTGATTAATTCTATTTAAATTGAATTTAGTGGTCAAATTTTCATTATAACTAGCTTAACAATCAAACCTAACATTAGAACAAATCAACTACTAATTGAACGACAACAATAGATCCGATTAGAAAATTCTGATAAATAAATTCAATTCCATGATTATTATTGTAATACTTGGCTCACCTTCAAGTAGATATCAATAGCCCGGTAAAGATCATCATCAACCTTCCTAGCCGTCTTGGGCACCAAGTTTGCGATCCCATTGAACTTAGAGATACTAAGTTCAACATACGTAGCTATCTCACCAAGGTAAGCATCAACAGTCTTCGCAACCCTCTGCATCGCCGTCGAACACACCTCCCTGAAATCGCCGCCGTTAAACACCGCCATACTCTTCTCCTTCTCCATGAATCCCGATATGATCCTCCTCACACTCTCCAGATCAAATAGCCCCTCACCATCGTAAGTGTGAGAAACCACCAGAAGATCGTCAACAGTCACGTGTTCCAAGATCACCGATATTCTCTTCTCGAGCTCGTTCTTGCAACTGTTGGCTGCTCTCAGGAAAATCGCCGTTCTGAGGAGGCAGCAGAGGAAGCTGATCGGAAAAGCGGCCTTTTCCGAGGGTAAAAGAGCGACGATAGACTCGAGAAGATCTCTTTGCCGGATTCTGACGTTGGAGTCGCCGGGATCTGGTGATTTCACGCCGTTCCCGGAGTGGTCTCGAACAAGATCGCGCAGTGATCTCTCGGCGTATGTGATGATTGCGCTGGCTATGGTCATGGCTTTTGCTCCTCGCGATTTCATTCTAGCTATGACCTTCTCGAAAGAAGTTACGTCTAAGATTGATAGCTCCTCCGTCCACCAATTCGGCGGTGATCGACTCGGAAAATTCGCCTCATTACAGGCCTGTAGAAGAAGGTAATTCAAGATTTTTACAAAAACATATCAAATACATGCTTCAAAATTCCATATTTACTAGATTAATACGAGTTTTTTTTTTCAAAATTGTTGGGACTTATTAATTTTTTCTATGTTCTTCATGAAACCTAATTTTTTGTCAAATCTATAGTGTTATTACGAAAATAATGATTTAAACTACCGATTTAATAGATTTAACAGTGAAAATCATACATTCAAACTAGTTTTGATGAGAATTAACAAATAAATTACATGAACTCAGAAAATAATGTTAGGATAAACATTAAATTATTGTACGTCGTACCTTAGCACTTGCTACGTCAACACATCTTTGGTCAATTTTGAGGTCTTCCGCCCTGGGAAGAAGCTCTTCGCAGGACTTCAAGACGACGACCGCGCCGGAGAGGCTAGTCAAGGCAACTTGGGAGAGAAAGTCCTCAGTCCGACCGGTGAGGTTACTGTCGCAGTATTTATCGGTCATTTGGAGATAGTCGGCGGCGCAACGGAGTGCAGCTACGTTGTGTACTGTGATTTCAAAGTTTACACCATAGCAAAATTTCGCTGCTTTTTCGAAGATCTCAGGTCCTCCAGGTATATCAGACAGATCAATCCTTGTTAAATCAGGATCTTTCGATTCTAACACCAGTTTTCTTATATGGTTGCTCTTTGCCACGAGCATGAACTGAAACAGTTAAGTGAGACCGCCATTAAAGTTTCTCTACAAGTTGGAGGAAGACAAAGAAGCTAAACTAACATAGAACAGCTTGCTCACCTTGTGGAGGGAGAAAGAAGCTTCACCCACTTCAACTACAACGTCAGTTGGGATTTCTTGAGAGAAAACCCTGCTCAAATCCAAAACAAAATTTTCAAAATCGAGAACAAAATTAAGAGAAAACGTTAATTGCTGATTAATTGATTTCATGTCTAAATCAATTACCATTGGCCAGTCCTCTCCATGGCACGGGAGAGCCTGGTGTTCTTGATGACAGGGGTAGCCATGTCTGGTGAGGATGCTCTAGAGCGAAGAGATCTTCAGAGAAGAGTAGGTTCTCTTTCTGGTTTATATAGAGAGTTTAATTTATCTTGATATTGTTTTTTAATCCACATAATTACCTTTATTAACTACTATTTTGGATTTTAGGGGACACAACACGATATATATATATATATATATATATATAGATATAGATATATATCTTTGTAACCACATCATAAGTTGCTTTTCATCCTTTTTTATCCAAAGTTTCTAATGTAGTTTTCAGTTCATGATTCCATTGTCCATTCTACCCTGATTCTGTACACGTCAGACATAAAGGAATCCACTCTAATATACTGTATTTAATTGTAAAAAATATTATGTGTTATATAGAATTTTGTTTTGAATCTTTATCTAAATAATATATTCTATTCATACTATGGACTTGACTATAATATCGCTTAAGGAGATGATATTATAGTCTAGTTCAAGTGTATTAAATTATAAATTTATTATTTTACCCATCAAATAAACAAAAATATTAATAATTAGGCAAAAATTGATTATTTTTCGGTCAATATATAATTAAGACACAATTATTCCAAATTTATTCAATGCCTTATCAAACATTGAATTCCAATGAATATTAACTTTATTCTAAATTTAATCTTGTGTTAGTTGGCTAATATAATCCTTTCTTTTACTATATGACAACCAAAAGAGTCATTTACGTTTTAAGAGAATAATATGGTACAAAAAAAATTAAAATTTTTATTTAAATTGTTAGGTTATTTATAACAAAAAAAATTTAATGTTTTTTGGGCTAAACTATCATGAATAACCCTCAAAACTTATAATGATGGTATATTAAGGATATTTTAGATTTATTTTTTGTTTTTGATTTAGGATATTCAAGTTTGTATAGATTATTTTCTCAAACTCAGTGATTGGTCATCGTGATTTAAACTAAATTATAACATATCTTTAAAATGATAAGAATGACTAACTTTTAAGAAAACTGAGAAAAAATGAACTTAAGACTTATCAAATGTAAAGTTCAACTACTAAACTACTTATTAAAAATTATTTTTTCTCTCGTTCCTAAATATTTGTTGTTTAAAATTTTTACACAAGGATTAAGGAAGTTATTAAATAGTTCTAATATGAGTAAAAAATAATTACACAAGACTAAAATACTCTTATTCAATACGTATTAGGAAAGAAATGAATATGAAAGGTACTTAGTTTCCACTTAATCTAATGCATTGAAAAGTTAAAGGTAAATTTGGAAAAAAAAATATTAATTATGCTTTGGTTTCGTTAAACGACAGATATTATGGAATAAAAAAAATTATATAAAACGATAGATATTTAGGAACGGAGGAAATATGATATTTTAAATTTCTACATCTGACACGTGGATATGCAGTATCAATTGGATACACTGTAGAATAACAATATTGAGAAAATTAATAATGAAATATATCCACAATTTTATGTAATATATAAAACATTTTTTTTTCGATCTACGTATCAGTCATTTTCCAGTTTTAATTCATTGCCTATGCCAACTTGTATGCACTTTAATTTATCTGCCACGTCTAAAAATGAGATATCAAATCCAACGTTGACAATAAGGTTAAATTTTATTAGAAATGCAATCTATAACATGAGATTAAACATAGTATAGAGAGTTGAAATTATGGCTAAGAATCAAGGTAAGAGTATTTGTATACCACATAATATACTAGAAATGCATTTTTGCCCTGTAGAGTACATCCACGTGACGGAGCCGGCAAAGATTATATCTGTTACTATCCGCTCTTCTGTAAGCTTTAAATGATAACCAATTTTTATATGCGTGGAAGAAGAAAACACAATTAATTTACGTACGACATCATGAAAATGATCCCATACTCCAATCAAATTACTACAACTTAGTAGGCCTGACAATCGTGTCGAGTGGAACGGTTTTGTATCGGATGAAACAAATTTATATCAAAATTTTTTATTCATACCTCATTCGTTTATACAGACGAGTTTAACTATCACATCCATATACGAATTATTTATTAAACGAGTTACCCGATACAACCTGTGTGTCACCCGTTAAATAAGAGAATTGGTTAAAGTATTTTGAGTACACAAAAAAAATTATCAACTTGCTACACATTACACATGTTTGACTTGTTTACTATAACAATAAATCGTGGTTGAGCAAAAAAATAAAGACAAAAAATAAACATTAAATGACTACTAAATTTGAATGAATCTAAGATATAAGAGGTGTGAGATGAGACAAAGGCTCAGATACGTAATATTTAAAAAAAAATTATAATACTACTGTTAACGGGGGTTGAAACGAGTTTTATGGGTTAAACATGAAATCGGTTCATTTATTTCACGAGTCTGTCGAGTTAACCCGTTAACCACCTGACGGGATAAGACTTTACCCAAATTCGCTAAATTCGTATCGATTTCACGAGTCGCTTCTAGAATTGTCAAGTCTACAACCTAGGGATACAATAGTCATAGTATTAAATTCTACAGTTAACAAGGAAAACTTCCTACGAATACTTCAAACTAATTTTAAGGTAAGATTGAGACCAATTTTAACTTATGACAACCACAATAACCTATTCTCAAATTAATTAACCAATTAAGACTGAAAACTCCTTCTAAACAAAAGACAACCCTAAAAATCATGCAACTTGGATACGAGGACATTAAATATTGATGTTACGTTGATCTATATATGGATGTAGAAGAAAAGGTATTAACATTGAAAAAACACAAACAATAAAGACCATTTACAGTTTGCGCTCAATTAAGGCTCGCATTACTATTTTTTGTTGAACTTTAAGATAATAAATTTGAATTTTATCGTTTTCTCTTTTGTATTAGTGCCTGAATCGTCCAAATTTTAAATAGGTTAGAAGACTATGAATTCATTTCTCTAAATAATTAAAAATAGCACATACTTTTTTCTTAACGTTATATACTCAATCAAGAAATATCTCGATAAGATCATATTTATAGCGAAGTGGATAAGAATTTATTACTCTACCAAAATTTTAATCGATTTGTTGGTTTTTTTAGACTCTTGTGATTGGAGAATAATATTGTGTAAAACATGTTTAAAATAAAAATTAAAAAAGAAATTGAATAATTAATCACCGCATACCAACATTATTGGTCCTCCTATATCGTAGACCATGGTGGCTGATGTCTTTTCGGCTGCAAATGTCCAAGATGTCTCAGCCACTCAAACAAGTGGCTAGGACTTCCCCAGCTACCGAACCCCAAAATCTTGGCTGCTCTGTCGCCACGTCATCGAATTAAAACCTTTACACCCCAGAATGGGCCCCATCCTGCGGCTTTGCATGTTCAACGTACAGGCAGGATAATCATCCGTTGGGCCACCACCGTATCCAAGCCTAGCCAATGCCATTCCTACACGTAGCGTATTCATTCATTTCACCCGGTCCCGTGAGAGTAACGCATATCCAACCTTTTGTTTATATTTTCTAATTTCTGCTTCTTCTTTTTTTTGGGAAATTATATTTAAAATTCTTGTGGAAATTATTATATTCAAAGGTGTTCTTGAAATGCATGAACATTGAAAAGGATGGTCTCTGTTAAGAATGCGACCGTACACTGTCAAGTTATTTTCTTTTAGAGCCCACAATCTTGGCAAGAGTTTGATGATGAAAGGAATCAAATTGCTGACCGAGTTTCTATGCTAGCTTGGCTTGCATTCAAATGCCAATAATTATGGTGGAATGATAATTTTTATTTTTTAATTATTTATTCACTTTTAAATTTGAATATCCCAAAATTCAAGAGAGCAAAAAAAATGCTTTTTATGCCTAAATTCTCTTAATTCATTCGTATTAATCAAGTTGATTCTTTATCTTAATAGCTTTTATCTGTATTATATTATAAATAAATTTAGCTCAAATCCACCGAACCAAACCACAAGTTATTCGGGCTGAAATTCCATGGAAATGGTCGGAGGGAAAATGTTTGGCAGATTAGCTAATTTTTGAAAAAATTTCACTCACACACCTTCTGGTGTGTTATATTTTTAAGTACACTCTTTCTTTTTTTTTTTTTAATTTTTATTGACATTTTCTATCAAATTAAAAATATTAATTAGAATGTAATTTCACTAAATATATTTTAAAAAAAAACATCCACACTCTCTCTAATTATGCATATCTTTAATGAAACCTTCTTTTTTTTCAAATTTGAGTCGTTTAAAATTTGATTCGAACTAATTAAAATTTATTTTTTACGTATTAAAATTTGAGTTTATTAAAAAATATATTTTTTAAGTATTAAAATTTGAGTCGATTCAAATGCTATTCAAGTCGATTAAAAGTTATTTTTAATCAACTTGAATTAAATTTTAGACAACTTAAATCGAATTTTAATTGACACGAATTTGAATAAGTAAAAATATAAATTTTAATATGCGATAACTGCTCAGGTAAAACTCAAATCAGCTAGAATTATAATACGAAACAAAAAAATTTAATAGGCCCTTAAAAATATGATAAATTAGAACGGGTGTAACTAAAATTTTTCTCTAATATTTTAATTTTTGTTTAATATCCATCCAAATTAAAAAATGTTATTTTATCATAATTAGAGGTGCCCATGGGATTAATTATAAGAAACCTAGGAAATATAGGAGTTCGGAAATTATAAATGCATTTGGATGAAGACGATAGATAGGGATGGGAGAGTTTGGACTTTACATGTGGGGGAATTTGGTCCCCTCTGGATATGTACCATGACCCCCTCCTGCTTGCGTATGCAATTCAATCTACTAATAAAAAGCTATCCACCTAATTGTCAGATTGTCACATCCAAAACCCTTAAGAACACAAGAACATTCAATATAATGATAAATTATGTTAATATTGATAATATTATATTATTAATTAATATTAAAATTGATAAAATAAATTTTACTATGAATAAATTTTACTTGAATAATTATTAATTTATAGAAGAAAAATGAATAATTATTCATTTATATGGATGGATAATTATTACTTTGTATTGGATTTATTTTTTTATTTATTTTCATATTATTGATTAATTATATTATTTGATATTTACTGATGTGATATCATTGTTGGAATAGATTTTTTTTCCTCCAGGTACCACCTGTAGAGGTAGGCTGAATTGGCCCAATGGGTGTGCAAGCCTAAACAATAATAGGCCTCTTTATAGACTTTCAATAGGCTATGGGATTTACCTGCAAAGGTGATCCATTTCGTAATTACTAAGTTTTTTTTTGTTTGCATTAATTTTAATCAAGATTTGTTAGGTAGTTGGTGACGATTAATTTTAATCAAACTCAGATTTCTCGGTTATGATTGAATGGTGATAATAATGACGTGACATTACCGTTGTATTAAATATTTTTTCATCCAATAAGATTTGATTTGCATCAAAATATTTTATGTATCCATTAGAGGGGATAATCTATCGGCTTCATCGGCATCTAAATATCTCATCTAATTAAATTGAAGTCATCTCTCTCCTTGATCTTTTGAATTTTTATATGAATATTTTCTCAGATATTTGATGGATTCTCAAGACCATGTTTGCTGAGTTATTTCCGGATAGATACTTGTGTTTTTCTGCAAATATCTCATTGTAAACATCATTGGCGCACTGGAAAAAAAAATCTGAGCATTGAGAGACGGTTTGCTTGCTGACAACTTACGAACTTGCAAGAAAAGAAACAGTCTTACGAAGGTGTCGAAAAAATGTTTTTGAATTAACCCATTAATACTATCGAATTGTTACCCGTGCAATGGGTCATGTATTATTTCAACGTCATCAATAGTGTGAATATCAAAGCGACTCATCCGCGAACTGGATCAGATTTTTGGTATGAGTTCCTAAAGACCGATCCTTAGACGAAATTTGCGACCCAAATCTGTTTAGGTGTCTGTAAATTTTCTGGGATTTTGATGAAGGATGTTCTAATAGTTGCATAGTCGGATGATTGCTTAGAGGAGACTGTTGGGTTGTCCATATGAAGGATTTCCTAAATGTAAATCCTTTTAGAGGACCTATCCATCCCGAACAGTGGCAGCAAACGCTAAATGGGTGTGATTCGGACTCCAGTATTATCGCTTAACAATCAAGAACAATTAATATTATCGGAATGAGACAAATTCAACATACTTAGGGGTGTGTATATATATATATATATATATATATATAATTTTCAAGAACATTGCGACGAAAAGTACATGGCACTAGGTTGAGATAATGTTTGCATGATCTTTGTGATCTTCTTACAGGAGTTAACCCTCAACACATATCTGAGGGAGCAAATATGTGGCAAGAGAGCTTCAATGCCTAAAGGGGTGAATGGCTTTGTTTTTTAGCTTGAAATGGCAGATATGACCACTTGGAAAGCCATGTCAAACATATCATTGTCTACTTAACCAATGCAATGCAAATTGAATAATTGACTCTAGAAATAGAGTAATGATATATTGACAAAAAAAGGACCGAAAACATAAATTAAATGGTGTGATATTATTATAATAAAAAAATATTAAATGTGTAAAAGTAGGACCCACAACACCATTAAGATAATACTGCATTATTTGATTCGTATTTTTGATTATTCACGATTGAAAAGAATAATAACTACAATTATGTATTTATACGGTGAAAGAAATGCATTGGGATCTTGTTGACTAGCCTAGATTAAAGAAAAAGAAGTAATTAGACTCAAATGACTCAATAAGACCAAGTACAAAGAAGATGATTCTACTCAAAATTATAGAACTCGACTAGCTGCAAAAGGTTATTAAAATCACTCAGGGTGGACTTCAAGGGGACATTTTCTCCCGTTGTAATTACTCGGTGTAGAATTGGCCAGATCTGCAAACTGGTCCAATTGTCCCAATCTCATAGGGTTTGAACTTGGTCTTGTTTAAAGAAGTCGCTCTTTTTTCGGCCCACCACATGACGCATGCCCACACGTAAGCCTGCACCTTGGGCTTGTTCACCGAAGTCTTGTCTTTTGGCGGCCCATTCCATTACGCATGCCCTCACGTAAGCCCGCCCGCACGGTCCACCCTTGTACAATTTCGCAACACTCTTCCTCACAGCTTCCACTATATAACCATCATTTAGCATCCTCCATTAGGGCTTTGTATTCGTTTCGCTCGAAGCCGCTGATCAACCAGAGAGAGCCATGGGGAGGAGTAAGTCAACCTCTCTCTATGCACTTGTAACAATCTATACATATATGTGCTATTTATTTGTATATATACACCAATAGAATTGTTGTGATTTGATTATATTGGAGAAACGATTAGGGTTCTTTAATTGTATTATTTGCTTGAATGTTTTATGAATCTTTAGGATTTTTAATAAAATTAAGAGGTTTCATTTGTTTAATTCATGACGAATCGAATGGGGATTGAGCTTATTTAGGTTTTCGCTTTGAATTAGTTGATTTTTTGTGTTGCTTAATTGGAAGCTTTTAGATACTTTTTTCGGTAAATCCGATCGGAAGAATATAGGGTTTATTGTTTATGCTGAGGTATGTATATTTGTGAATGTAAATATGTCTCTATATTTTCGTTTCTTCTATTATTATTTTGCTCTTGATAGATGCCTTGTTGAGATTGTTTGGACTCCGTCTGCATACATGTATTAGTAATATGGAATTTATTTGTAATCATATATGCATCTATCTACATGTATTTATACACAGATTCAAAATCTGTAAAATCTGCATAACCGGTCAAGGGACAGTTTTCCCTTTTTGGCTAAGATGTTTGCACATCTATCAAATTTTATTTTTTTAATCTATATCCAAATTCTTTAAAAAATCATTCAATATTTTTATTGGGCCCTTTTTTTTTTTAATTCTGGAGGCAAATGTGAGCTTTGCTGTGAATTAACACTCTGAAACTAGGCAGGTTTTGATTTCTTTTATTTTTATACTTGTGTCTTGTTTGATTCTAATCTTATATGGCTAAGAAATATTTGTCTAACATTACTTAGATTTGTGTCATGACTCAGTTAAGTCCTCGTAATATAGAAAATATTGGAAATCATTTACTGAACCTTGTTTGTTTGAGATTGCTTAGCTTTGTCGGATCAAAACTACATTACTTGTTCATAAACGAAGGGAATAAAACCAACTGACTTTTGTTCTGTTTTTCCTCTCTGAAGTGGCTCTCGTTGTTTCTTCTCATTCCACTTTCCTCTCTTTATTTGCCTCAAGTTTATATCCTTATGATGCCTCAAACTAATGTCTTTTATTACTATGTTCATGTTGATGGTAATTATTCTGGTTACTACTATGGGAAGGCGTCCATTCATGTGGGGGAACTTTTTTATGATGCATGGTTTTACCAATACCAATAGTGTGTTGTCATTCGTTCTCTATGATTCTGCGATCTATAAGCATTATAAATCTGTTATAGTGGCCTTGTTTTTATGAACAGGAGCTTGTGGTGGTTGTAACATCCAAGCTTTTGTTTTATGGCCATGCAATCCTTCTTATTTTTGGGGAAATCTGTTGATAGTTGAAATGAGTAGTAGATTATGATTTTGGTTTCACTTATTACCATCAATATTATATTGACTTTATGGAAGCATGGTGGATCATAATAATATTCTCAAATTTGCAGGACCTGCAAGGTGTTATCGCCAGATCAAGAACAAGCCATACCCAAAGTCACGGTACTGCCGTGGTGTGCCAGATTCAAAGATCAGGATTTATGATGTTGGAATGAAGAAAAAGGGAGTTGATGAGTTTCCCTTTTGTGTGCATTTGGTTAGTTGGGAGAAGGAGAATGTTACCAGCGAGGCCCTGGAAGCTGCACGCATTGCCTGCAACAAGTACATGACTAAGTTTGCAGGAAAAGATGCATTTCACCTCAGGGTCAGGGTTCATCCTTTCCATGTACTGAGGATAAACAAAATGTTGTCGTGTGCTGGGGCTGATAGGCTCCAAACCGGCATGAGGGGGGCTTTTGGTAAGCCCCAGGGGACATGTGCACGTGTAGCCATTGGTCAGGTCCTTCTCTCTGTTCGCTGCAAAGATACTAACAGCCACAACGCCCAAGAGGCCTTGCGCCGTGCAAAGTTCAAGTTTCCTGGTCGTCAGAAGATCATTGTCAGCAGGAAGTGGTATGCTGAATTTTTCACTCTGTCTTGGCTTCAAGTAACAAATTGATTTCGCTTTCTCAAACTTAGAAACAACAGTTTTGAAAAACATAATTTCCGGAGAGTTGGTCATCCGGCTTGTTGTTGCGTGCCTGCTTATTGTATCGGATTTGAGCATTTTGAAATTCTATGTTATTCTTTGTTTATGTGGAAGTGAGTGAAATTGAAATCTGATTTTCATTTCAGGGGATTTACGAAGTTCAGCCGTTCTGATTACGTGAGGTGGAAAGCAGATAACCGCATTTTGCCAGATGGTGTCAATGCCAAGGTTTGTCTCTGCCAGGATTAAACAGATCTATTTCTTGTCTATCGATCATTCAATTTGCAATTGTGTGTGTATATATTGGCTTGCATGCATTCCATTATTACAACACACGTATCAATTGTAAAGGGAATCTGCCGGAACAGTGGATTGAAAACCCACCGGTGAGTCTTAGAGAAATTATCTCTTTGGAGAGAAAGGTAGGTATAGGATAAAAGTGATATGACCGAAAGTCTGTGGCTCCTTTTGTTTTGTTTCTGTAGTTTCTGTTTTAAAAAAGTAATATATTTACCCTTGTTTACTGACCAAAAGAAAAAAACACACGTATCAGTTTGTGCTCATCTATAGTCGGCAGGCAGTTCCTGGGTCTTGTGGATCAGTCTTTGCGTTCTGATTTCTTCCTATGCATTATGTGATATTACGAGGGAACTTATGATTTCTATTATGTCACTTGCAGCTTCTTGGCTGTCATGGACCGTTGGCGCGGAGGCAACCTGGAAGAGCATTTTTAGATGCGGCTGCGTAGGAGTCGGGGATATATTCGGAACTGTAGCAGAGATTTATCTGCTTCTTTTTGCTACATTTTCTACTGCAGAACTTTAATTGCCGGGATGTTTGCTATGACTTTGTGTTATTTATATTGTGAAACAAAATGTCAGTTTGATCTTTTAAGGTCTGTTTTTTTTTTGTTTAGCATATTAACTCGTCGTTTATCCACAATTCATAGGACTCTACGTGGGAACTGATCCACCTCCACTACAGTCTATGCTTTGGAGGCATTGATTTATGAAATATCAGTGACAATTTTGTTAAAAATTTTGATAGTGATTATCCTCCAGCTCTTGGAAGATGCTATACTTTTTCCCATTGGCCCATTATTCTCGGATTTGGATCCTCTATAATGCATTTTCCGTCGATGGTGAATTTCTTGTGGTAAATTCAAGTGGGATTTATGATATATATGTGGATTTTCCGTCGCTGAAAATCCACTATTATGATCTACCATTGAGGGAAGTAGTTTTATCATAATGGTTTGTGATACATGGTCACATTCTTCTAATAAATGCCAAATGACCATATTGGTTCTATAATTTTTGGCTTGGAATTGCATTGCAGGTATTGATTATATGTTGTAAATTTGAGCCCCTCAATTGTTTATATTGACCCGAGATTTCATATATTCGATTTATATATATATATATATACTAGTAATAATTCGTGCCTGAAGGCATTAAGTAACTCAAAAAATCTCGATTACTAGTTATACAATATAAATATTTCAAAAATATTTTATTTTTTTATTATTTTTTTTAGTTACACGATTCAAAATTAATTTAAAAACACTTTTTTTAAAAATTTTGACAAAACTTCTTTAAAAACACGATTCTTAAAAAATATCAACATGCATACAATTTATATATTTAATCATTATACCTAATAAATATCTTCTTTGTTTTGTAGGAGTCAATATATTGACATGTGTGTGTTGGCGGGTATATAGAAAGAGAGTTATATGAGAGATGTGATAAATTTATGAGGGATGAAAATATGATATAAAAAGAGATTACGATATTAATGGGTATTATATGTATTATATTATTATTATATATATATATATATAGTCATTCAAGCTAAACTCTCAAAAGATAGAATTATATAAGAGATGAGAGTGTGTGTAAGAGAAAGAGATGTAAAAAAATAAAAATTCAATTAGGATCATATAGATATAGATATAGATAAATAGATATGGGATGACATACTTGGACAGAGCTACATAGGGGCGAGGGTGGACATGGGCCCATCCTCAATTTTTTTAAAAAAATATGAGATATATATATATATACTTATATATTTTAAAAGTTATACATATATATATATATATAATTATTTAGTCTTTTTTATTATAATATGACTTTCTTCAGATGACTTTCATTTTATTATGAATTTTTACAAGTGAAAGTGCTTTCAATTGATCTTCATTTGATTTTGTTTTTTCTACGAAAAATTATCTTTTATTTTTATTTGAGTATTGATTATAGTCTTTATTATGTGCCAATTGATTTTTAATTTTTTTACTATGTCTCTTAGATTTTAGTTTAATAGTTTAATTATACTAATATTTTAGTGATAATGTTTAAAACATCATTTATTGAATAAATTTAATAGATTGTTAGTGAATAATTGATATTTTTTAATTATAAAAATGACAATTAGCTTCACTTTTTACATTGGTGATAATTAGTCAATTTTTTATACATATATAATATTTGGGTAGGATTAGATTAGATGAATTTTGATGACTTCTAAATTGTATATTTATATTTCAATTAAATCTTAGTTGTTCTTCTCTCTTTTTTTAAAAAAATTAAGAGTATTAATTTTAATTTTAAAAATTTAAAATTGCCTTTATATTGTTAGTGTAGATAGATATATATATAGATATACAACTGTCTAAGTCAAATTCTCTAATAGTTTAAAAGGGGATGATGAGAGATAAAAAAAAATGTAGTATAGTCTTAGTCAATCTGTTCAATGTTTTGAATGGAGATGAAGAAAGATAAAAAAAATGTATTTGAGTATTGTTGGAAATGTAGATTAATTAGGATCATCAGATCAATAATATTATTATTTTAGGATTATGTTGTGCGTTGTCCGTTGGATGTGTTTATGTTTTGTCTCAAAACGATTTGGATCTCTCTTTGTCTTTTGGATTCAAACTTTGTTCTATTTTATTATATAGATATATATATCTAAAATTACAATTAGAAAATTAAATTATCAACTTATAAAAACATAACAACTATTAAAATTTATACAAAAAAACTAATATCTAATATCAAACAATACTATTAATTTACATTTATCTCTTTTTACTATCTATTCACTTTTATTTTAAATTGTGTAATTAAAAAAATAAAACAAAGTAATTTATTATTTAAAATATAGATATTACACAATTAATACTCAATTTTTAGTACGAGGGAGAGAGAGAGAGAGATTCAAGTGAAAACAGAGATTGCATAAGGAGAAAAAAGAAAAAATATAAACATAAAAAATTAAAAACATAGATAAAACATCATGTTTAATAAAATAAAAAAAAATAAAAAATTAAATTTTCTTCTAACCTACTAAATCTATCCCTCTAAAAATTGAAAAAAAAAATATATTTTTAATTAAAATTTTAAAAAATTACTTTTTCCATCTTATCAACCATAAAAAAATCAATCCTTTATATTTTTCCTCCCATCCCTCTTATCAAAGACAAGGAAGAATCCATCCATCCATCCATCCATTTTGCCATCCACCTTACCAACACAGGCCATAAATCTTCTTCCGGAGAACTTCTATTTTATTGTTGGTCTAGATGATTTGTCTTATTTATATCATGAAACAAATCGTCACATTGGATTTTCTAGTCATCTGATTTTTCATTTTTCGGTTTGGCTTGTTTCCTCATTGTTTACAGAAGTTTATGGTGGTAACATCTGTGGATTCTGGACTACAGGAGGACATGGAAAATATGCGAAGCTTGCCAATCCTAAAGCCACAAACCAGAACTAACAAAAATATTATTATTATTATTATTATTTAAACTTAATTTACTTACCTAATCAATTACAGTTCATCTCAAAGAAAACTAAAAAAAAAAAAAAACAACACAGCTCTCCAGAAAAGGAAAGCACTTTGTGTAGGACTTTCAGTATCTGTGTGCCAACTTCTCCTTTTCCTTGTAGTGCTGTGCATAGCTGCATTTAAAACACAGATCTTAACCAAGCAGAAATCAGTCTCTGTCTATGCAAATTATTTTGAGAGAGAGAGAGAGAGAGAGAGAGAGCGAGTAGGTTTACGCGTAGGTGCCGATGACAGGAGTCAGGAGGAGGGCGGCGTTGTGCCAGTTCTCGGAGACCTTTTGGTGGACCTTCCCCGGAATATCCTTCCAGAGACCAGACATCACCTTCTGTTGAAACGGAGACAGCTCGTACACCACCGCCTTCATCCTCACCAGTTTCTTCCCCATCTCTTCTCTCTCTCTCTCTCACGTTCTCCGATCACTGCTCCGACCGTTACTCTTTCTCCAGAGATTTAAGAACAAAAATGGCAGAAGCATTTATGCAACATGCTCTGCAGTCAGGTTTCCCTTTTGAAGAGAAAGAGAGGATGATGACATAACTCTCTCGAATGTTCATTTGGGCCATTGGGCTTATATCCTAAATTGACTATTATTAGTGGACTTTTTACTGGGCATGTTGAACTTGCCTTTTCAAAGAGCTGTCATCGGGCGCTCCCAATTTCTTCTTTCAAATCCGAAACTCAAGGAACTTTTGGTTTGAATATTTAAAAATAATTTTTTCAAAAAATTTTAAAAAAGTGTTTTTTGATATTTTTGTTTTACAAAATTTATTTAGTTATATGATTTAAAATAATTTTAAATTACAAAAAAGAGGAAAACATGTTTGCAAAGTGATCCACAAAACTAATTTTTAATTTATCTTCTCGTTGCATCTATCTCTCCATTACTTTCTCACACCGTCTCTCTCTCTCTCTCCGTTGTCTTTTCACACATCACAGACATCAGAGGCAGCCCAACAGATCTAGAGTCTTTAGGCGAGAAATTGATGTCGGGCCCTATATATATATATATATATATATTATACTAATTAATCATTGAAATATATTCATTTAAAGACTATTTTTCTTGCTTTTTGAATTGCAAAAATACTGATTAAATTTTTATTTCAAGTTTTGCTAATATATCATTTTCAATAGATAATATAACTAATTCATTTAGTTTATCTTGTGACATAGTTGATCAGAAATAAACTTTTATTAATTTAAGCTCTCGGCTGAAGTTACTGCGTTGTTAACAATATTATAAAAGTTATACATACATTTAGAAAAAAAAATCTAATTGTTTTATATAAGTCAGGGTTTCAGCTAGAATGTTAATTTAATATTGTAAGACTTTTTTAATAGATTCAATTCTTGAAATCAATCTAAACTATCTATATCAGAAAATAAGTCATGCTTCAAAAAAAATTTCAAGGTTAAGGACAATACATTTTCAAACTTTCATCATCTAAAGATTTTAATTTTTTAAAACAAAATAAAAAACCAAAAATAATTTCATATATTTTGAATTTTTTAAACCTACTTGAGATTGAAGAAATATATAAATCAACTACATATAAAAAATACTCAATCCAAAAGGTTCTTCAGATGATAGTGTTACTGCATTCTCAACTACATCACAAAATTAATTTTTCCTAAGAATTTTACGATTTTTACAAAATATTGGTTCTATTTCCATTTCAAGTGCAGTTTCTTTTGATGAAATCAAAGCAGAGTGAAATTCATTTTCTCTATATGATTCTAAAAAAGAAATAAGTCATTTTAATTGATCAATAGCAACATCAATATGCATTTCTTTGGATTGTAAATTTTTACGAACTATGTTAAAAGCAAATAATATATCATACCAAATATTCATACTCAATAAAAATTCAAAATTTTCAATCTCAAGTAGCTAAGTATCTGGGTTCATTCCTTGTTTTAAGATTTTCACTAGTTTTTGTTAATTAAATTAAAACATCTCATATTTTTTCTAATTGAATTCTTTTTTTCATAGACAAGAAAGAGAGAGACGTTGTTGCTGGTGTTTAGGCGTCTAATACGGCTAACAAGTGGAGCAATTTACTGAGTAAGTTGTTATAGAGCTAATGGGTCTATTAATAAATTTTGGGCCCTCTCAAATCAGTTCATTCAAAATATATGTACCCATATGGCTGATTTTGGTTTCGCCAAGTGGAGAGAGAGAAAGTTAGGAGAGAGGAAGGCCAAAAAAAAAAAAAAACAAAAAACAACCTATATAC